TCTGGCATGAATATTCCATTCATTCATAAAGAGACAGCAGCGATTCTACAACGGGTTACATTTGAGAGCTATTGAGTTAGAAAATTGAGTAAATGAAGTAGCCTATAAGGTGATTAGTCTGATTAACATGACGCACACACACACGGATATGAATACTCAAACTGAAGAATTCTGTTGTTTCAGGTTTCTAGATTCTAGGTTTATGTTTATCATTGTCATATACATTTTGGTTTCTGCTCTTTTTATGTAGATTTCAAGTATTTTAGTTCATACAATAATACATTTATTTCAATCGTCTGTTGAAAAAAAAAATAGAAACCATCACATAATTTGTAATGGTTTTACTGGTTATAATGAAAATTTTATTGTTTTAATGGAAACTGTAATGGTGCCCGTTGGTCTCTACTGGTAATTAGTCACCTTCTGTTCATGGCTTTTGTTAAAACCAAATGTAATCCTAATGTAATATGTAATAAACCCTAATTCTAATTAAATCCTAATGTAATATGTCCCAAATCACACTACAGAAAACCATTATTTAATGGTTTTAATGGTTAAAAGTTGATAGTTTGTAATGTTTGTAATGGCATTTGTAGTGGAAATCATTCAAATTTCTGTGATGGTTTCTATTGTTTTTTTGTCAGCAGGGTCACCATGGGTTTTGTGATGTTATATGCCATAAATGCGATAGGATTGCTATAATATTGTGAGATAGTAGCTACCGTTTGTAGTTGTGGTGGGCCTATTTTGGAGAAAATCCAGGGCCGTTTTTTACTCCCAGTCTGTCCCTGTTTCTCAGGCGAACAGGACGTTATGGCAGCTGTGGGCTCTGCACCTCTGGCCTTTCGATGGGAGCCTGCAGACCTCCCCGAGAGCATTTTAAATACAATTACTCAGGCTTGAGCCCCATCTGCGAGACGGCACTATGCCCTTAAATGGTCCGTCTTCTCCACCTGGTGTGCAGCCCGTGGCAAAGACCCAATTTCTTGTGATATATTGTTGAAATTGTCCTTCCTCCAAGAGATGTTGGATAAGGCTCACTCCTCTTCCACTCTCAAGGTCTATGTAGCGGCTGTAGCAGCTTTTCACACTTCTATAGCTGGTCAATCAATGGGCAGGAACAACTTAGTTGTCCACTTTCTGAAGGGGTCCAGGAGGCTGAACCCACCTTCCCCCTTTACCGTCCCTACATGGGATATGCCCACTGTTCTGAGCCCTCCCTTTGAGCCGCTACAGTCATCCGACCTTCGGCTCCTATCGCTGAAAACCGCTCTGCTACTGGCTTTAGCATCAGTCAAGCGAGTGGGAGACTTGCAGGCGCTCTCTGTGAGCCCTTCCTGCCTTGAGTTCGGACCCAGCGACTCTAAGTTCATCCTGAAGCCAAGGCAGGGTTATGTAACTAAGGTGATCTCTAGTCCATTCAGAGCACAGGTCATTACACTCTCTGCGCTTCCTCCGTCGGAGGAGTACCAGGATCTGTATTTACTCTACCCAGTCAGGGAGCTGAGAATTTACATTGAGTGCTCTGCCCTGTTTAGGCAGTCAGAGCAGTTCTTTATTTGCTTCGGTGGCCACACCAAGGGTCATCCGGTCACGAAGCAGAGACGTTCCCGGTGGATAGCTGATGTTATTATGCTAGCATAATCTTCCTTGGGCCTGCAATGTCCCATTGGAGTATGAGCCCACTCCACCAGTGGCGTGGCCTCTTCTTGTGCTTGGTCTATCACAGAAATCTGTGCGGCGGCTGGTTGGGCCTCGCCGTCCACATTTGCTAGGTTTTACAACCTGTACACTCCTGCCTTACAGGTCAGGGTTCTTTCTTCATAATCGGCACACACTCGCCAGAAGGCGGGATCAGCTCTGTGTATGGTTTGGCCGTAACATGCTCAAACTTGCTAGAACTGCTACTTCTTGTATGCTCTCGGCCCTCCCTAGTACCGAAGTTGTACGAGTCTTACTTGGAACGATTACCCAGGCTGGGCATGACCTCTGTGAGTTTAGCCTGTTGCCACATGAAGGGCTTGCCCTATTATACTTGTCCCTCTGAGACCCTCGGGTGCTTAAGGGTAGTTAAGGAATGTTCACATACTAAACAGATTTGCTTTATTCAACATCAAGAAGATCAGGCCCTTTCTTTCGGAACATGCTTCACAACTCCTTGTTCAAGCTCTTTCCCACAATGCAAAGCATAATTAAAAAATACGGAAAACACCTGTTAAAACCAAATACGGAAAATTCCTTCAAAGTATTACGGTATATTGTACTGTATTTTTACGGACTTTTTTTACAGTGTACAATAGCAATTTTTACTAGTAAGAATTGCATTGTAGAGCTCTCTATTCAACACAACCTCATTATGATAATTGCACCTCATGCATATTCATAACATGGGTGACTGTCTGTCCAGATAGGCTCGTGGGCAGTCCATTGATATATAACGCCATTGCATTACGGGTGTCCTGAGTTCAAGTCTGGGCTGGTGGACCCTTACAATCCCACACCCCTTTCCCCAATTCACTTATACTGTCCTATCGAAATAAAAGCAAAAACGGCAAACATAAATCTTAAAAACAACAAAGTGGGAGACTACACCTCCGAGTTGTTCACTCAAGCAGTTTTTAATGATGAATAGCAACACTGATGCTCTAATGATCTATTAAGTACCTATTATATTGATTGAAATAATTATAAAATGATTATGCTTTACAGAGTAGAAATATAACCTAGGTAATCTATATACTGTAAGTTAATTTTAAAGGTAAATTCACGCACAGAAAAGATTTTGGGCTAGGACTGTGATAATATCATAATTGTTGACACTGTGCATGTCACTCACTTTGCCAACAAAGAAAAAAAAATGAACAAAACCACGTCTTGACAGTCCAAAAGCATTTACTGCATGATAAACCTTTTGGAATGCAGTTAGAATGCCCCTATAATTCAAGTTATGAGGGCAAAAATATCCCTGTATGAGTATTTGTTTTTTTTATATTCATAACATCTGATATAGTTCAGCAATATCACGCAAGCAATAGTGCTGTTTTCCGAATATCAGCTCATGAGCTTGGATCGTGAATGTGATATCTGATTTTTTTTATTTATGTTTCTTATATATTTATTTATAATATATATTTATTTATATTTATAATATAATTTATATATAGATTTTATTTATAGATTTATATCTTTATTTGACCCTCTAACTCTAGCACTCTCTATTCTAATTCTATTCTTAAAAAACACTAGCTTCTCTATTCTTTTTGTATTCTATCTATTTGTTTTCTCTTTATTTAATATACAATTAACAAAAAGCAAAAAAAAGGGGCCTCTAACATTTGCTTGCTCTATTCTTTTTCTATTCTATCTGTTTTCTTTTTATTTATTATATTATTTAAAAAACCCTTGCTACGTGCACTGCGTTAAGCTAACTGAGAATTGTTATAGCACTTGTATATCATTGCTCATTTGTTGATTTTGATTGCTTCCATTGTCCTCATTTGTAAGTCGCTTTGGATAAAAGTGTCTGCTAAATGACTAAACGTAATGTAATGTAAATGTAATCATTCCTCTTCATAGCACGGTGTGATTGTACTGGTTCCCATAGTGACTAGCGACACAGTAGGAGTGTAGTATCGAAAGGGAATGTACTCGGCCACTAACTTTGTGGCTTCGGGCTTGTGCAGCTCTGCTGACTCACCATTGGTTTGTTTTTATTTTCATTGCATGAACCAATGGCCATGCAGTTATATTTGTATACTTACTACATAAAGTATACTTAAAAATATACTTGAACTTTACTTAAGTATACTTATACTTAAGTATAAACAAACAAACAAACAAATACTAAAATAAACTTGAAGTATACTACTTTTTGGTAAGGGATGTCCTAAACTCAGTGTGAATCACATCCTCTACTCTCAGTGACTCAGCTACCACAAACTAACAACTGCAAGAGTTTTTCCTACCATTACAGCAGGAGCTTTCTGAGATCTTGTAAGACACATTTCCACAACAGTGCAGATGATGGCTGCCTTCCATCTGTCCACTGAAACCTGCATTGCTGCTGACATTATAAAGACAGATCACTCATATTTTACTCTTACCAAATCATTCTGTTAATTTACATTTAATAGATCTATGATAAAATGCATATGTAATAATAATAAAAATCCCAAAACTCTTATAACGGTGTTGAGAGGCTCAGAGTTAAGGCTCTGTGTAAGGTCACTCACTGGCTCCCTTTGTCATGATGGCAAAATGCTGAGGAACAAAGAGATGATTCATTATGAAAAGTGGTAACTAGTCTCCTGTGGACAAAAATGATAGTAAGGTTTTAAAGGGGTCATGAACTCCATCTTTAATTTTTTTTATTTTATAATGATCTTTGAGGTTCACTTATAATGTTATTGTGATTTTACATAAAAAAAATAATAAATCATATTTTAGAAGTAAAAGGCTATTTTAAATATTTTATATTCTGTTTTTGAGCCTCTTTGCAGAATGGTGTTTTTATAGGCGGGGTGCATTCAAGACTTGCAACTTGCAAGTAAATGCCCACTATGATTGGCTAAAAGTTTCGCTTATTAAAATAATCGATGGACGTTGTTGTGACGTTCTCTGAAAACAACATGGGTCATTTGGGTTAAAAAAGTATAAATACTCAGTATATATCAAACAGTCTGGAACAGACAATGCAACAGGGGTAACATGTTTACTCACACTTGTGTTGCGACATTACCCATAGGCCTACAGAAAGGTACTATATTCACATATATGTGAAACACTGTTAAATATATTGAAATATATTTTGAAAATAGCCTATATTTTAAAAATGCATAGAACATAAAGCTCATGTTGCCTGTTTAATTAGGCTATGTGTTTATGTGAAATTATATTCATACCTCGAGTGTAGTATCGAAAGGGAATGTACTCGGCCACTAACTTTGTGGCTTCGGGCTTGTGCAGCTCTGCTGACTCACCATTGGTTTGTTTTTATTTTCATTGCATGAACCAATGGCCATGCAGTTACACTGCATTATTAAAAAAGGCTTCAGTATCGGAGAAAAAATTACTTTTTCCCATAGCGTCTAGCGACGCAGTACTCGTTCCTGTATCTCAGGGAACTGAGAGTACATTTTTCACTGCTGTCGACATCAACAATTTTTGCAACAACAAAATCTGATTATCATTCATTCAATTACAAAAGAAGGACACATTTTATAATGATCAGTATTCTGGTATTTTTGCATTCAAGAAAAGCTAAGAGTAGATAAAGCTTTTACTTATGTTGTCTCTTGGAGGTATAGCATTAGGTCTGTGTGACTCACCAGGTGGGAAGAGAGCCTTGCTGGCATTTTGTTTTTTTATCAGAATCTGTGAGAATAAGATTCACATTATAACCTACTAAAACAAATGGCAAATATTTTACTGTTTAACTAAAAACACATGAAAGATTACAGAGTACAATATTTCTTTGTTCCACTGTTTAGTCACTTGCATCACATTTATTTAATTATTTATCTAATAATCACTGTAAGATCTGTATACACACACCTGTTGCTTTTGGACAGCAAGTTTCATTTTTAGGCTTTACGTTTAGTGTAAGGTTAGTACAGCAGTATTGGGTTGTCATGTCATACGTTTTATTGCCACAACAAGAATGATTTTCCTTCCATTCAAATATTTCGTCACCACCACAACACAAATGAGTCGTTGTCAGGTACATGACTGTAAATGAGTGTAAGAGAAAACTCATCATAAAAGAAGTCATTCTTAATCAAATAGTATAAAGATCAATAAATCAATCTCAAGCAAAAATGTGTCAAGTGCATCGGCTACCTTTGCCACAGCATTTCATGTGAGTGCTGCTTCGAGTCAGAATCCTGCCATCACAGCAAATCTCGTTAAGGGGATTGTAAGCTACAGAATCACAGCAGTCAGCCACCAGCTGGCTTAATCCCAGAGTTACATTTCCTGCAGCACATTGAAATATAAAGTGTTCAATCATTGTGTATCCCTTACGAAAAAGAATTTTATTCAAGTGTGCTATTAGTATACTTCTTTTAAACTAAAAATAGGAAAGTATACTTTTAGTCTACTTTTTATGTACTTCTCAGAAATGGGCTTTATGTACTTCTCAGAAATATACTTAAAATTACATTTAAGTATACTTGACTTATACTCAGAAAAAGTCTAAATATATTTTTGCTATAATTGTGCTCCTAGAATCCGCGTTTTCATTGTTATACTGTAGAGGGCGCTAGTACACATCTTCTGTACAGAATTACCAAAAAACACAAGTGAAGAAGAAACCGAAACAACAGATGCTTCCACATGTATTCTAACACGATCATCAGACATAAAACAGTATCAAAACTATGTAACATTATGGAATAAAATGTCGACCAATGAAGAGGCAATAATAACTGTCAAGCTTTGGGGTGTTGATCGACTTTATCTACGTTTTGATTATCATTCTGAATCCAATTCATAGTCTTTTTTCAGCTTTTTGTTCAAAATGTTGTTTATTTCTTTATTTTTTATTTATGAAACTTATCCACATTCAAGTGTTTAAAAAAAGAATGCATGAAGCTAGAAAAAAATGTTTTTGTTTACAAGCAGATACCCTGTTCTTTTGATGTTTTGTATGTTCAGATATTCATGTAACAAAATATATACAAATTAATACCTAAATAGGGACATAGTAGTATATGTTGTAAACTAGTTGTGTACTTAAAGTTTACTACTGTTATACTTAAAGTATACTTAAAAGTATACTTTTATATACTAGAAAGTGGGCCAATTTAGTCCCAAGGAGTATTGAAATAGTACACTTACAAGTATACTACTAGTACACTGATATTTGTATACTTACTACATAAAGTATACTTAAAAATATACTTGAACTTTACTTAAGTATACTTATACTTAAGTATAAACAAACAAACAAACAAATACTAAAATAAACTTGAAGTATACTACTTTTTGGTAAGGGATGTCCTAAACTCAGTGTGAATCACATCCTCTACTCTCAGTGACTCAGCTACCACAAACTAACAACTGCAAGAGTTTTTCCTACCATTACAGCAGGAGCTTTCTGAGATCTTGTAAGACACATTTCCACAACAGTGCAGATGATGGCTGCCTTCCATCTGTCCACTGAAACCTGCATTGCTGCTGACATTATAAAGACAGATCACTCATATTTTACTCTTACCAAATCATTCTGTTAATTTACATTTAATAGATCTATGATAAAATGCATATGTAATAATAATAAAAATCCCAAAACTCTTATAACGGTGTTGAGAGGCTCAGAGTTAAGGCTCTGTGTAAGGTCACTCACTGGCTCCCTTTGTCATGATGGCAAAATGCTGAGGAACAAAGAGATGATTCATTATGAAAAGTGGTAACTAGTCTCCTGTGGACAAAAATGATAGTAAGGTTTTAAAGGGGTCATGAACTCCATCTTTAATTTTTTTTATTTTATAATGATCTTTGAGGTTCACTTATAATGTTATTGTGATTTTACATAAAAAAAATAATAAATCATATTTTAGAAGTAAAAGGCTATTTTAAATATTTTATATTCTGTTTTTGAGCCTCTTTGCAGAATGGTGTTTTTATAGGCGGGGTGCATTCAAGACTTGCAACTTGCAAGTAAATGCCCACTATGATTGGCTAAAAGTTTCGCTTATTAAAATAATCGATGGACGTTGTTGTGACGTTCTCTGAAAACAACATGGGTCATTTGGGTTAAAAAAGTATAAATACTCAGTATATATCAAACAGTCTGGAACAGACAATGCAACAGGGGTAACATGTTTACTCACACTTGTGTTGCGACATTACCCATAGGCCTACAGAAAGGTACTATATTCACATATATGTGAAACACTGTTAAATATATTGAAATATATTTTGAAAATAGCCTATATTTTAAAAATGCATAGAACATAAAGCTCATGTTGCCTGTTTAATTAGGCTATGTGTTTATGTGAAATTATATTCATACCTCATATGATGTATTTCTAATCATTGTGTTTTTGCAATGCAGCCTAACTTTTAACTACACTATAGGTTTACGGTTTAAAACTATTCTATCTATCTATCTATCTATCTATATATCCATCCATCCATCTAGCTATCTATCTAGCTATCTGTGTATAAACTGACTTCAAACAATGTTTTGCAATACTGCTTTCAAATTCTCATTGAATTTACAGTTTGATGTAGGCCTACTATCCACTTAAACAATACGTGATCAAGTTTCAGGATATTTTATCTGACTTTTATGTACTATTTACGTAAACGCTGGTAACTTTGAGATGTTTTAATGGGCGCGCGTGTTGAACATTCCAGTCGCATTAAACTGGAGCGGAGGGAGTTACCATGGAAACGGGGCGTCAACTCAGCTGACAAGTAGCGAAACTCCATCTCTCAGTGTTGTTTTCACTGCTTTCAGGTAAGTTTAGTCACTAAAATCACATAAATAATACATACAACTCTGCCTGACACTTTCTTACATGTAACTGACACGTTTCTGTTCAATATTTACTTTACAGAAATGGTTTAGCTTCGGAAAAAGACCTGTTAGCATCACAACTGTTAACAATACAGGCTAACTATAAGAGGTAGGCTAACTATAGATTTGAAAGTTTGGGCTTTTAATCACATCTTATGTGTAGATGAGCGGTTTTGATAGCTTTGTAAATGTTTTGCTGGTAATTTGTCAATAGATAAATGGAAGTAAGCTAATTAATTTAACCTAAAAGTCTGCACACTAGTTGTGTACTCAACGTTTACTACTGTTATACTTAAAGTATACTTAAAAGTATACTTTTATATACTAGAAAGTGGGCCAATTTCGTCCAAAGGAGTACTGAAATAGTACACTTACAAGTATACTACTAGTACACTGATATTTGTATACTTACTACATAAAGTATACTTAAAAATATACTTGAACTTTACTTAAGTATACTTATACTTAAGTATAAACAAACAAACAAACAAATACTAAAATAAACTTGAAGTATACTACTTTTTGGTAAGGGATGTACCAGGCCTGGACTTTATTTTGTGTTTTGTGTGCGGCAGTCGTCCGCGAGGAGCTGCCGCTTTACTTTCATTTTGTGTTTGTTTATTTTATTAAAGTTTTGTTTAAGTG